CTCGGGCGGGTGACCCAGGAACCGGCAGGGCGGCGGCAAGGCGAGAGCCGACACGGTCAGGCCCGCGCGGGCGTGGAAGGTTGGGGGCGGCGACAACAAAAAGAAAGGAAAAAAAAAGCGGAAGACCAAAAAGTCGCCGAAAAGGCGGCGTAGACAGCCCTGTCAGAGATACCCGGAAGATCGACGTGACCCCGGATGGGAATAAGCAGCGGGAGCCAAAGGTCAGACTTCCGGCAAGCCGCCTGTCGGGGAGCGCGGTGGCTGAACTGCGCAGGCGCTAGCTTGCCCGCCTTGGGATGGCTTGGCGGTCGCCAGCGCCGCGCTGGGCAGGGACCAGACAGGGACCAGACAGACCCCGGCCGCCCCGCGCGCTGCCTGTGATCCTCGGCCAAGGGCAGGTGCAGCTGCTCTTCCGTTGGCCATTTCCTGCAGGCCGACTCTGTCCGTGGCGGGCCTTCCAGACTATCGAAAACCAGCCTCACCTCACCCTTACTGGGAACATCAGTATTGAGTTTTAATTGGTCTTGGAGACAAAAAATTGCCTATCATGCCCAAAGCCCACCCAGTACCCTGTCTCACTTGTCCAACAAGCACTGCTGTTTCTCGCAGAGTGATCTTTAATATCTTGTGAAACTGTCTAAACTGCTGGATTTATTGATGCAACTCTGTTAACGATGGTCCCGTTATTGTCCCAGTTGGGAGTGTCAAAATCTGACTGCTCCCATTCCTTAAATTGATAATTTGTCGTCCTTGTAGATGTGATTATTGCTTTTTGGTTTTCTAGTTTCTTATTTTCAATGCTTTTAGTTAATAAAATTTTATTAAAGTAATTTTTCTCATTCTTAACTTTCTTAACTCACACGGAGGTTATCGTCATGATACTTACGGTCATTTAATAACTTACTATATACTACTGTAAAATATACTGATTACTATATAGTATGCTATATTACTACATACTGATTACTCATTGTATAATGATTATATATAATGAAAACTATGAAATATATACTATATAGTACACTATATACTGATTTAACGGAATCTCATCTATTTTGACACAATGAGATTTTTCTTGATCTTCAAATCCTTTATAATTTCCATGTTATTTCTTCTTTGGCCTTTTTGGTGCTTTATAAATACAGTAATGTCTGAAATTACAGAAACATTTCTGAATACCTTTCTGTTAATAATTTCTAATTGATCGTTTTAATTTAAAACTTGTTATGTGAATCCAAGTATCAATGAGGTAATGATCATTGTGCATTGGGAATAAAATATAAAATTATTGGATAGCATGTCCTACAAACATCAATCAAGTCTGGTCAGTTGATATTATTACTCAGATCTTCAACATCCCTACAGTTTTCTGCCTTGATTATCCTTTTAGTTACAAGAAAGGCTTATTGATGGGCTGGGACTGTAGGTCGAGTTCAGCCTACCATGTGAGGCCCTGGGTTCAATGACCAGTGCTGAAAAGTACTGAAATATGACTATAATGTGGCTTCTTCCGTATTTCTCATATGTCTATCAGTTGTTGCTGCCAATTTTCATCTCCTACAAAAGTTGTATTATTATGGACTGCCCCCCACTGCCCGTGTAAAGTGCCCTGTTCTTTGCTGTTGATGTTTTGCTCTAGAGTAAGCTCTATCTGATCATAATGCTGGCATTCCAGCTTTATGGTGTATACTACTAATGGGCATTCTAAAGGGAAAGTGTATTTATTTTTTCCTCACTGTGACCAAAATATCTGACAGGAAGAAGCAAAGAAAGGTATTGGTGGAGACTGCTTGTTCATTCCCAGCTGCCCAGACCACGAAATAATCACCCAGAGACTGTATTATTTAAATCACTGCTTGGCCAGTCACCTAGGCGTATGGCTAGTTAGCTCTCATATCTTTGGTTAACCCATTTCTGGTTTTTTTGTTTTGTTTTGTTTTTTTGGTTTTTTCGAGACAGGGTTTCTCTGTAGCTTTGGAGCCTGTCCTGGAACTAGTCTTATGGCCCAGGCCGGCCTCAAACTCACAGAGATCCTCCTGCCTCTGTCTCCCGAGTGCTGGGATTAAAGGTGTGCGCCACCACCTCCTGGCTTGGTTAACCATGGCTGTGGCTAACTCATAAGATTCCAGCATGTCTGTCTGCCGTGGCAGCTACCCGTCTTTTCACTGACTCCACCTTCTTTCTCCCAGCATTCAGTTTAGTTCCCTACCTCCTACCCCCCACCCACACCTAGCTCTATTCTGCCCTATCACAGGCCAAAGCAGCTTCTTTATTCATTAACCAATAAAAGCAACACACATACAGAAGGACTTCCCACACCAGAAAGGTTTTTGTTAGCTCGTGGTTTCAGAAGTTTCAGAGCATCATAGCTAGGAAGGCATGGGTGGAGTTCAGGATAGCAACAGCATGCTCATACTTGCCTAGTACCAAAGCCTATATACCCGCTTGGATGTCTGTACATTAGAACAGCCATGTGCATCATAGCTAGGGAGACATGGGGGAGTTCAGGATAGTAACAGCATGCTCACTCTTGCCTAGTACCAAAGCCTATATACCCCCTTGGACGTCTGTACATTAGAATGGCTGTTCTGAACCACGAAGCTTCACTGAGGGCTCCACATTTTTAGTCAATAGTATTTGTATGCACTTAGCCACCATACACAGTCAAAACAAAGCCAACCAACTATGACTGAGTTGAACTATGACTCCTGTAGATTCTGTCCTTCTTCATCCCCTAACTCTATGCTCTCTTGGTCTCATTTATAAAGTATATACTATACCCAAACTTGTATATCTTTCAACTTACACAAAAGTCAATTCAAACTGGATCAGAAATCTTAATTTAAGACAGGAAATGCAGAAACTTCTAGAGGAAAATATGGCAAATGCTCCTCCAGACACTGGAGTTCAGAAAGTGCTTCCTGAACAGGATTTCAGTAGCACAGGACCAAGCCCCAAGCATCAACAGATGGGCCTACGTGTAACTAAACAGTTTCTGCAAAGCAAAAGAACTATAAGCAGAGCGAACAGCCCACAAAACAGAGAAAATCTATCCCAACTATACTTAAGACAGTGGCCTAATGTCCAGAATTCCAGGACTGGAAGAATGAAGTACCAAGAATTCAAACTTCCACTCATCAGTCAGGCTTCTGAACAGATGACTTATAAAAGAAGAAACACAAATAATTACTTTTTAAAACATCAACATCCCTAGTCATCAGAGAAACGGAAAAGTTACTTTGAGACACCATCTCACTCCAGTCAGAGTGCTGTCATAAATCTGGCAACAAATGTTGAGGATGTAGAGGCAGTCAGGCACCATCATACCAAATGCTGCCCAAGGTTTCCAGGCATGGGAGACAGGAACGGCCACAGCTCCGAGCCGTGCCTTGCAGCTGAGCAGGATGGACTCAGCCAAACACTACCTATGACCCACCCCAGAGCCCTGGTGCCAGGCAGTCGGGCATCATTGCGATAGGAGGCTATAGGGAGGGGAGGTAGAAGAGAGAGGTGGAATGGTTCATTGGCTGGGGAGAGAGGCCGATCTGGAGAGGTCAGTGTGGTGGGGAAAGGGCTGACATGAATGGCCTGCTGGCCACTCAAGTCCGGGGTGATTTCCAGGCCTTGCCTAGGGCCATGGACCAGGTCTTCGTCTGGGACACTGGAGCAGCTGAGGGGGCCTATGTTCATAGCTATGGTTCCGGTCACCACACGGGGCCTGGGCGGGGACCTAGTCTGGGCTGCCACCTGGGGCCATCTTGGCTTCCAAGGGCTACACAGCTGCAGGGTCATACCAGGCCTGCCACCTTAGACCATGGTGACATTCATACCCAGACCGCTGCATAAGACCATGCCTGGGTCCGCGGTTCTACTCCAGCCAGGGTCTGCATTGATGTCTATGATCCATGCTGCCACCAAAGACCACAGAGATGCTAGGGGTCTGGGCTGCAAACTGTCACCAAGAGGGTATTCAAAGACTGTGCTGCCAGCAGGGACATGCTGATCTGAGTGGCCTGTGCCATCATCGGGGGCTATGGTGTCATCCTCAACGCTGAGGGCCTTGTCTGTGACCCTACAGCAGCCAGGATCTGTGACCCCTGTTACCACTGAGGGCCATGTGGATGACAGGGGTCTGTTCAGCCACCTAAGACCATGTTGGTGTCCAAGGACCATGCCACTAATAAGGGACCCTACTGATATGGGCGGCCAGCACTGCTATCTTGGGACTGGGAGACATCTAGGCATAGGTCACTGCTGAGGGCCTTGTCTGGGTTCATGGTCCAGCAGTAGCCAGGGTCTGGGGTAGTGATCATAGCTCCTGTTACCACTGAGGACTCTGAAGATGCCCAGGGTCTGGTCAACCACGTGAGACGATGCTAATGCCTGAGGGCCTTGCTGCCAATGGAGCCATACTCGTCTGGGTGCCCTGTGCTGCCACCGGGGCCGTGGTAAAGTCCTGACCTAAGGTGCTGCCAAGGTCCATGTCTGAGTCTCCATGGTCCTGCTGCAGCTGAGGTCTGTG